AAGTCGATGATGTCATCTCTTGTCAGATATGATTCTAGACACTACCCTCGAGTCTTTTGTGGTGACCGCCTTAAGATCTCCGCTCCTCCGGAAGTCCTGAAAAGAGGACCTGTGAGAGGGTCGTGTTATCTTCCTTACCAACTTGATGACTTGCCTACCAACACTGAGCTCTGGGTAGCGAGTCTTTTGTCCCACACACAGTTGCTTTTCAAGAATTTTGCTGACTGGGAATTTGTTTTGCCGTTTGAGGTTGCGGAACACTTCACGTGCAAGACGAAGGCAAGTGCAGTATCGGATTATTTTTATAGAAACTTAATACTGATACAAACTCAGTACAATCTTGGTACCGTTGTGTAATGTGTTGTTTTTACTCAAGTACAAAAAAATATTTCTTCACAGCATACAAAATGAAACTAGCCACACGATTTACTGAGGCAGGTGTGTGTGTGTGTGTGTGTGTGTGTGTGTGTATGTGTGTGTGTGTGTGTCAACCAGTGGTTTCGAAGCGTCGACTCACACAACTGTACTTAATTATCCTGTTTCATTACTTTAACTCCTCATAACGCCCCCTTCACCTCCCCCCAAAATAACCAGACATCACAATCATGCTTTCACTCGTCTAAAGTTCTCTAACGTGTGGGATGTCTCCAAACGTCCTATATAGCTTCATTAAAATAATCGTATAATATGCAGCGCCAACACGTCCGAACTCTTACCAAGTTTAAAGAAAATACGTCAAGTCCTTTATTATCGTGTTGACATAAAGGAGCGGCCACGGGTACAACAGACCCGACGGCGAGTGTGAGTCCATAATATACTGTAGTTATCATACTCCTCAGGACAACCAACTTCCAATCTATCAATACACTTCCAAGTTCTTTAAGTGTGATTCGTGGGATTGGGCCACTTAGAACTAGTTTACAGACATATTCATATACTTGACGTACACGCCTTGTTGTGCAACTCATGTGTGTACATGAACCACACCAGCCACGGAACATAACCCGACTTTAGCTGAGCCCAACGTCAATGTACGCAGGTGGTGGTCCTCGCTCACCACAACACACCAAAATATATGGAAAAAAAAAAAAAGCTTATTGTGGGAGCCTGTCTGCCGCTCGCCTCATCTGGCCAAAAATGTCTCTCATTCATCCCCACGAGTTCTTGTGTCCTTGTGCCACGCCATTTGGAAAGAGAGGCATGGCCGTCCGTTTATGCGTACGCCTAGGTGTCCTCCGTACGTCCCGTTAACCTGTACAGTCACCCAAAAAAGTCCTGTCGCGAACCATGAACCCCGAGATTCAGACTCTTGAATCCGAAGCATTTATGGACAGAATAATGTATCAGTGTCTACTGCTTCGGGTTCACGAGTCTGAATCTCGGGGTTCGTAGTTCGCGACAGGACTTTTTTGGGTGACTGTATATACCGTTAACTTGTACAGTGTACGTTGTTAACCTGTACGTCCCGTTAACCTGTATGTCCTGCCCTGTGTAAGGTGTATACAATAATAGCTGCTGCTTCTGACACTTCGTAAACAGCAAATCTCTACTGTACATCGCAGACAAAATATTTCCTACTCTTACTTTGACAATAAATCAGCCGACACAATTTTCTTAACATTAAAAATAACAAATTGTAATCTATTTTTTTCCTGGACTCCAATTAGACAACGAGTGAAGCAAATAGAACTTTGGAAATAAAACTTAAACTTAATGTAAATTTTTGGAGACGTTTAGGGTGTTGAAAGTGAGGGAAGGAGGGAGGGTGGTGGCGGACGATGGAGGGAATGAGGGAGACAGAGTGGTGGACGATGGAGGGAGTGAGGGAGAATGGTGGTAGACGAGGAAAGGACATCATGCCACCACTCTGACACGTCCTGACATGTTGGTGGCCCAGCACTGTTCTCCAGTAATAAGAAACACTACTTCCCTCCCCTCCTCGCCCTCAGTAAGTCTCCTTGGGTCTCCTTCAACTCCAAACGCGAGTCATTAAAATTTTAGGGTGGACCCGGACCAAGGAGCCTCCAGCCCCGGAAACACTAAAACTTCCTCACTCCACAATGTAACACACATACACCCATTCATCAGCTCGCCTTAGATGATGACGAGGGATAGGGTGACGGACTAAGCTTTGTTAAATAGTCTTAATGAGATCTTTTAGAAGCATACTAACATTACCTGAAGATTAGTCCCCAGATTATTTCACCTGATGATTTTAGACGCCCAAATCTAACGTTTCCAAGGTAAATTATATTAGAATTGGTTAGGTTAGATTAGTTTATGTTAGATTAACCTGAAATCACTGGCAGCCGCTGTAAGAACTGCATTTTATTTGTGTAATTTCAAGTTGTAGACACTTATTTCCCGACTACCAAGCCAACAGCATTGCCGCCCAAACTATGCGGGCCTGTGAGTGCTATGGGCCATAAGCCAATCACAGTGAGCTATGAACATGACGTCATACGTACACCTGAGCTTATTGGCTGAGGACTTAGCTTTTCATACCCCAGCAACAAGTGAACCCAACTTTTTTTTTTTTTTTTTTTTTTGGAGTATTGTGTAGAGAGGGGGGGGGGCATCATGGTAGGTATTGTCTGTACACTGTTTTAGTAAAGTTTTCTACGATATTTGCGGTTCATTTAAATTAGCTAGGAGTGTTGTTTGAAAGTGTAATTGTAACCCTTAAGAATGTTTTAAATAAATGAAGAAAGATAAGAGAGTCATCAAGTCTACTTCCCCCACACCATCAACACACACATACACCATATACCACCACACACACCATATACCACCACACACACCATATACCACCACACCAAAACACTCAAAAACACCTACTTCTACTACAACACGTCACACTCATCCATCACACCACCACACCACTACCACCACACACCACACTACACCACACTCTCTTCCAAATCCCTTAACCAGAACGAGCCCCAGGCAGGTAGATAAGTATACTCTCTGTGTATATTTCCTCTCAATACACCTGTGGCTTCACTTACCAGTCGCCGCTAGAGCTAAGTCACCCCTTCCTGAGTCACTATTTTCAAGGTCCATCGTAAAACAAAACAAAATATTATGACTTGTGTGCTGTTAAGGACGACAAGAGATATGAGAGTTTTTAGAAACAAGATATCTTTTTATGTGAGGGAGCATACGCAGTTTCCCTGGCCTCACTACCTCCGCCCACTTAAGGTATAGGCTGGACAGGGTGGGCGGGGAGGGTGGGTTGGGCGGCAGTAGAGAGGGTGTGTGGCAGGAAGGGTGGTCGCCGCCTGTCTATTGATCACTGGCAGTAACACACACACAGAGGGGCGAGGTTGCCTGGCATTTCAGCGACGAAGGAGGGGGTGGTGCAGCTATCTGTCTCCTGCCGTTACTACTGCTGTCCACTTCCTGTCCCCTGCTGTTACTACTACTGTCCACCTCCTGTCTCCTGCCGTTACTACTGCTGTCCACTTCCTGTCCCCTGCTGTTACTACTACTGTCCACCTCCTGTCTCCTGCTGTTACTACTGCTATCCACTTCCTGTCTCCTGCTGTTACTACTGTTGTCCACCTGTCTCCTGCTGTTACTACTGCTGTCCACTTCCTGTCCCCTGCTGTTACTACTACTGTCCACCTCCTGTCTCCTGCTGTTACTACTGCTATCCACTTCCTGTCTCCTGCTGTTACTACTGCTGTCCACTTCCTGTCTCCTGCTGTTACTACTACTGTCCACCTCCTGTCTCCTGCTGTTCCTACTGCTGTCCACTTCCTGTCTCCTGCTGTTACTACTGCTGTCCACTTCCTGTCTCCTGCTGTTACTACTACTGTCCACCTCCTGTCTCCTGCTGTTCCTACTGCTGTCCACTTCCTGTCTCCTGCTGTTACTACTGTTGCCCACCTCCTGTCTCCTGCTGTTGGTACATACTACTGTACTGTCCACGTCCTGTCTCCTGCTGTTCCTACTGCTGTCCACTTCCTGTCTCCTGCTGTTACTACTGTTGCCCACCTCCTGTCTCCTGCTGTTGGTACATACTACTGTACTGTCCACCTCTTGTCTCCTGCTGTTCACCTTTTGGATATAGGTTGTTAACTCATTTTTATTGGTCTAGCATAGAGAGAGAGATGCATCGGAATACTGTAACTCTTGTCCAATATGCCAGAAAGTGGGTGAGCCAAACCAAACTACCCAGCCGGTTTTATCAAAACCCATCCCAGCTTTTGATAAACTATTCAGTGATATTGTAGTCGAGTGTGTTGGACCTCAACCAACGACACGAAGAGGAAATAATTATTAGTTAGCCATAAAGTGTGAGTCAACTGGATTCCCAGACACAATCCCACTGAGATCCATTCATGGGTAGGATTGATCAGGGGAGCAACTTTAGGTATATAAGAAACTATTAAAGTGCTTACACACTGAACAAGAGTTATCTAGTGCACACCATCCAGAAGGTCAAGGGTGTTTAAACAGATGTCACCAAACACTGAAGAAGACTTTCATAATTTACAGTGAAGAGTTAGGAGTAGAGTTGGATAAAGGTGTGCCACTAGCTTTGTATACATTAAGATGCTATACAGGAATCTATAGGTTTTAGCCCATTTGAATTGGTGTTTGGCCATGATGTGAGAGGGCTCTTAAGTATGTTGAAGGAGAAGTGGCTTGAGAGAGATGATTGTACAAGTGTAATTAGCTGTGTATCAAATTTTAAGAGCAGGTTTCTGAGAGTTCGTGACGTGGCCAAAGAAAATTAAATGGATGCTCAGAGTAAAATGAAATTGTGGTACGATAAGAATGCTAGAGCCAGAGAATTCCTCTCAAAGAATTGGGTTATAGAAAATAAAATAATGTAAACTATCTGTAAATACCCCCAGAGAGGCGAGAGATAAACCAGCTATGTCATATAAATTTAACGAAGCTTTTTTTTGAAAGAGGAGTAAGGGAGATGAACATTGTAATGTGAAGCAAGAGGCCAACTGTGCCATTGGGATTAGTTAGAAAATGATGAACCTTATAATGTAAATGTGAGGAAAAAGTGTTAAATAATTCTGGTATTATAAAGAAGGATAATAAATTTGTGCCTTCTAAGAGAATTGTTACCCCTTATTATACCACAGTACTCAGTTAACTCTAATAAGGAATCTCAACTGACACACTTTGAGAGAGGTCCCAAATTTTTATACTGAGTGAGTGTATTACTGAGAAAAAGGAGTGGGCAAACTAACAAAAAATGATACTAATAGAAAATAGATCCAAAGCAATCATAGAAATAGAACGATGATGTAAACATTGTAAAGTAAACAACAATATTTACTTGTGTTTAAAGACCTATAATGTTATTACAGACAAAGACAAGGAATAAACATGGCAGAAAACAATTCAGGAAACCAAACAGTGGAAGATGCGTTAAGAAGTGAAATGGAAAGGGTAATTACTATTAATTAAAGAGCAACTTAATTATTTTTACAGAACAATTATATTACAAGTTCACATATACGGAGTGTGTGCAAACAATTATTTATAGTAAACTTAGGTTAATATTCGTTTTACCTCAATAGGTGTTTGGGACTTTTTACCATTATCACTAGGAGTCGTTGGTCAATGTTTCCTGGTGTACAACACATTGACCAACAACCAAAAATCAGTAAAACTAACCTAACCTAACCTAACCTAACCTAACCTAACCTAACCTAACCTAACCTAACCTAACCTAACCTAACCTAACCTAACCTAACTTGTAAAAAAATACTGAATCATTTATAGTTTGGAATCGATAATCTTTTTTGGCAATGCTGTAGTAGGTTAGGTTAGGTCACCTGGTTAATATTCGTTTTTAACCCAATACGGATAAAAAACAAATTTTTGCTGTAACTTGATTACTCTGGGACCGGGTGTTGCATTAACCATCACACTTTACTCACTTTTTGGTGATCTAAGATACAGGTGACTGCCATTGGGCGAGACTGAGTATTTTCCAAAATATTAAATATATATACTGCTATATTAGCAATATAATTTGTCATTCAGTAAATGAATTAAGTTAACCTACCTAACCTAAATTAACTTAACTTACATAATATTATATGTTTTAGGAGAAGCTCAAGTTTAGGTAAGTTACTTTGGGTTCATTTAATGAATGATGAATTATACGATGAATAGCCTACATTACCCATCACAGCAAAATAGCCTGACAGGCTGTTTTGCCACATAATTGTTTATGTAATAGAAGTAAAGATATAATAGTATTTATTGTATTATTAACTACATATTACTAATTGAGTTATCCTAACCAACCAAACCTACCTAATCTTACCTAACTTCCTAACCAGAAGCCGCCTCCCTGGCACATTAAATATCTCGGTTCTAGGTCATTTGTGAGGGAAACGTCATGAAGAAAAGTGTCAAAATTGTCTTAGCTACTGACTTCAAAGATAAAATTTCCAAGATTCGGTTGGTGTCAAAAAATGTAATTACTGTATACCTTTTCTAGTAGTTTTCTTATTTTCAACTCATGGCCATGGGTTATCCCATCCCTTTCAGTTATTAGAAAAAAATTTTTTAATTCAAATGATTTCTGTTTTTACAGGAAAATCTACAGTCTGCTGTTGACAGATTGATCCATGAGATTGTATCAGAAGAAGCTGGACACTCATCTACAGTTGATCCAGAATCAGTGGTGGCACGTTTGTTAGATTCTAGCACAGTTCAGTCATTGGTACAAAGAGTGTTAGCAAGCAGCAGATCAGAACAAACTTCATGCCATCTATCTGGAAGTATACCTTCACACATACAAGGTAGTGGTCTCGTGATAAACCTTATACAGAATAGTATTTTAACCTCACAGAAAAGTATTTTCCTTTCCTGTAATTTTTCAGGTAAGTTGTATGTTACCTTGTCAGTACTGTATTACAAACCAAGTGTCAAAAATTAAGTAATGAATATTTCATAATACTGTACCGGCAGTTTAATTTTTAGTGAGGTTATTGAACTGTTGATGAACAGCTTTTTTTTTTTTTACCAATATAAGAACCTTATAGAATAGCGAACTTCTAAAATATACACAGTGCATCCTGTGTACCGCCGGCAAGGCCGTGGGATAGTAACACTCGTCTTGTCCGCAGTCCCCACCGTTTCTCTGTGGATGTCGGTCACACTAGAATAACCCATTATAGTACATCCTTCTTTTCTCACACAGACAAACTGTGGAATGCTCTGCCTTCTGTGTTTCCATACTCATATAATGTCTCACTTTAAAAAGCTGGTTTTCCGGCATCTTCGTGGTGTAGATTAATACAGTATAACCTTTTTCTTTTCTATTTTTAATTTCTTTTTACTCTTTATTTTTCGCCCCTCTTGGCCCTGTTGTGGGTCGATGACCCATGCCCGGCTGGGCTATTCTCTGGGTCATGTCTTCTTTGGGTCTACAATGGTGTGATATATTTTAATAGATTGATTTACCTTACCTTGGGATCTTGAGATTTGTTTTTTGTTTTCTCAGACTTAGAGAGGCAGTGTACAGTAGTCTCATGACTCAGCCTTCCTTTACTTGCTCATGGCACTTTACCCAAGTTGGACTTGCTTCTCAATACAGTACAGTATTTGCTTCTGTTGAAAGCTCAGTTCTCCTGTATTTTATATTGCACTTCATTGTGTTAACTGGGAAGAGGTGGAGAGTGGTGGTAAGTGATTGACTTGGTTCCTTTCCAGAGCAACTGGTCCCTGGGCATCGATACTTATACTTAAAACTGTGTGGGGGTAGAGCCTTTGTTGACCATCTTGGGGTAAATGCAACCCCTTTGGCTGCAGATAGCCAAGCCTTCATAAAAATTCACTTGGCATTTCAAAGTCAACGGTGAGTAGTAAATCTTGTTACATCATTAGTTACAAATATGAAAATAAGTTGATTGGTGGTAATGATGATCTGAGTACAGTGCAGTTACTCTGTTAAAATTTTTCATAAATATTATTTAACTGCCAAATCACAATGTTTCAAAACTGAGAATTATAGAATTATCCTATTTTTTCACAATGTATGTGATGTGTCAAAGATTGGTGTGCAAGTTTTCCAAAGTTTCATCACAAACTTATTTTTCTTATTCACAGTTAAATGACACTTACAGAATTTTACCCAGATTTATCATTTGGTCAAAGTCTTAAAATTACTGTAGTGCCTAAAACATACACAGAAGCGTTTGTAACAGATTTCACTAACTACGGGTTGACCCTCTCTTACCCAGCATTCCATCTACTGGCAACTCCCAATTAACAGTAATCTCCCCATTAGCCGAAATCCTTGGTCCCCAGAATTCTCCAATAGCTGGAATTGATTTTGATCCGGAAAACTCTCTCCATTCTGAGCAAGGAAACAAGTTCCGAGGAAGAAAATCGGACGCATTTTATGAAAAATATCTCTATTTTTTATTATAGCAATTTTTGCCCCCTTTTGATGTATGTAAAATACAGAATAATAAAGGATTGGAAGCTATTCCCTTTAACTCATTGTTAAATCTACCTATTAGTGCAACAAAGTTCCCGAGAACCAAGTGGATTTTGTAACATATTTACTTCATTGCCAGAGGTATACTGCACATATCATCCACTATATCACACTACACAAGGCCATCCATGCCACACATGTACATTAGTGTAATATGCTGGGTTTTTTTAACAGTTATGCTTCCCTGCTAATATGGACACCTCAGTAACACATTCCGTCTGATTAACAACATCGCTGTGGCTTCATTAGTCAAGTACTCGGGGTTTTTACTGTCCGGTAATTTTTTCCGGGTTAAATCCTAAAGTTCCTGGGCTATAGATTGGGGATTGCTGTGTAATCGACTGTAAGATTAGGCTTTTGTGTTCCCAGACTGGAACAGATACAGTTGTGCCCAACTCAGATGTGCCATAAAATTTTATCTCCGAAAACCTGGTCACTTAGTCCTTTCATTTGATTATTACAATTACTGTATATACCAAAGATTCTTGCAATGTTGATTTTCATGTTTTGAATTATAATTTTAGGTTTGAAGCTCATGGAGTTCCCTGTGTGTGTGAACCCAAGATCTATGAAGGATTTCTTTTTGATCTTCAGCTTTTAAAGCCAGGTATGTACAGGTACTGTGTGTATATATATATATATATATATATATATATATATATATATATATATATATATATATATATATATATATATATATATATATATATATATATATATATATATATATATATATATATATTATTTTTTTTTTTTGCGTATCAATTTCCACTGATAGGTAAGATCCCAACCTTATGTGTAAGAAGTGTGGCTGTAATGCATGGGGAAAGATGGTCATATATGAAGGATTGATCCTACGATCTAATTTTATTACTGTGGCAACAACGAGGCAACTCCTATACCCTCTTTGAGATGAGTGGAAGTCAGTTGTAACTGAAAAGTTTGATGCCTGACAATTACTCCAGCTGAGCTGGACCAAAGTGAGGTTTTGTGATGTAATGCTCACCACTCCTTGTTTCCTACTTAAATGGTGAGCTGATGCATTTGAAGACCCCTTTCAGTTCTTTGTTGTAATGGGAAGCATAACAAATACCTGAATTGGCCTTAGTTTTTATTGTTGAGGGTAAAATCCAGGTTAGAAACCAGAACCCATGATTATAATTCATGAGTTGCTCAATTTTAGGCTCAGCCATAAAACTCACATACAGATATCATTACCTGTAGTTATTGTTTCTCTGATGCTTAATGAGCATTTAGTGCCTCATAGAGAAGGATAAACAGTTTTGATGTTCTACTTAACAAGCTCTAAGGGTGTACAGTAAGTTTTAAAATTAAAAATCAACTCTAGCACTATACAATATATACAGTATATTTGTATCACATTCTTAGTAATGAATCACTTTTCAGGTCTTCCTAACATGTTGGACAATGCTGAACTGTTAACTATGGATGTTCCCATCACTATAGCAGTTGTGAGACAACAAGGGGCTACCACAACCCTTCTCTCAGTCCACACCTTGGAGTGGCGTTCTCTGTTAGCACAACCCTCAGCAACCTCCAAATTTGTATGCCAACTGATGGGCATAGGTCAGTATGAAAGTCATAACAAGTAATAGAAGATAGCCTTCATTTGTACCCAATCATTATCTTTTTGATAGTAATAAACATATAGGCAATGAAGATTTTGATGAGTAATCTAATTTTCATGGACACCAAGGTGTGGTGAGAACCCCTTAACCATCCTCCATACATCTTAATATGAAAAATTCAGTCACAGAACTTGTGGATGTATTTATTTGTTTAACTCAGACCCGTATTATTATTTTGATGATACATATTAATAAAATATACTGTACAGTACTGTACTGTACTATAAATACTGTCAGTTTATTTAGTGTCAATTTATCATCAGAGGCAAGAATATATGACAGAAAATTGGAGATGTTCGGGGTACTTGGTTCTAACTACAGGGGCGAACATAAACACCTGTAGAGTTCTGTAGGTTCTTACTAACGGAAATATACAAGGGTGCGCTTACAAGCGCGGGTAGTCCTTACACTCCTATAGGGTCAACTGACCTCACTCTGACCTCTCAGGCGACATGTGGTCAGTGGTATACTAGCAGCTTCCAGATGTCGCCAGGCACATTTATCTAAGCGTGTGGTGACATGAAACAGGGGCATTGCCACACACTACTGACTAGAGAAATAATGTGTATATATAGAGTACATACATGGTATACATACAACATACATAATACACATACAAAAATGTTATAAACATTCTATGCCACCATCACTTATTGCATGACCACAACCTTATACTGTACTCGAGACACAGTAGAACCTTTATACTGTACTGTACAATATATATATATATATATATATATATATATATATATATATATATATATATATATATATATATATATATATATATATATATATATATATATATATATATATATATATATCATGTAGATCCACAACCTTTATACAATATAAAAAAAAACAATACCTCACTAGTCGGGAATCGAACTCTGGACCTCTGCACGTGAAAACGGATCTCAGAGTATGTACACTTATACTCATCTAACCCCCACAACTCCCCTTATGCTTAGGTCTCACTCTCTCATTCCAGCCAACCCACTCAGCATCTCTCACTAGCTCAGCATCTTTATCACTTGTCCATGCTCGTATGAGGAAAAAATTAAAAATAAAATCATTACAATACTCTAATGTGGCTTAGAAATAAAGAAATATAATATAAATCTATAAAATAAGAAGACTGAAGAACATGGGTGTGTATGTGTGGGAAGCGAATGTATGTACAGTATTGAGGCAGTGAGCTGTAGCTGCATCAGTCAGCTGGGTGACTGTGTCGTGTCTCCCAGAGGAGGCATTGTTTGTAATAGACGTTTTAAATACAGTCAGCCCTTAACATACGCGGGTTTATAATACACGGATTTGCAAATACGTGGATTGCCCCGCCGGAGGAATATTCTGTACATTGAAGTAATTGAAGTACATTCAACTCGCGCGCGGCACCGAACACGGGACACCGCCCGCTCCTGCAACCTCACACACACACACGCATAGCTCTCCCTCACTCAGTCAGTCTCGCTGTAACCACGCTTGTGTTGACATCAGCATTGTAGTTGCAAAAATATTGCATTTCCATGAATGTATTATATCAAGCACAGTATGAATAGAATATCACTAATATAAGAGTATTTTAACCGAAAACTACTAAAAAAACGAGTAACATATCTTGAACATCGGAAGGCTAGGTAAAGTCTTTTGTTTTCATGTAATTTATCCTAATTTACATTGAAATACATTACGTTTCAGCAAAACTACTATTTATTTCTGAGAATATGGAAATGTAATATTTTGCTGAAATTATGTACGTATTACAGTGGAAAGTGATGAAAGCAATGACTCGCTTTCTTTCGTTCAAAAGATGTTACCGTAATCGCTTTTCGAATGGTTTTCAGTTGTGGGATTATAAGGCTAATGATAGGATAGAATATTATTGTAATACAGTACGAGTACAACAGTTTTTTAACTGAAAACCATTCGAAAAGCGATTACGGTAAAATCTTTTGAATAACGAAAGAAAGCGAAAGTCATTGTTTTCGTCTTTCCACTGTAATATGTACGTCATTCCAGCAAAAATATTATATTTCCATATTTATTTCTGAGAATACCTATATTCATTCAGTCACAGTTAAGGTAAAATATACTTGTGATGTAATATTTTAATGAAAATACCAGGTATTTAGAAATACGGTATCGTAGTTTTCTTTTGTTTCAAATTTAATTAACAAAGATTGATGTTTCAAATGTAATGAACAAAAATTTATGTACAGTATCTATAAATAAACTTTAAAAAATGAATACTTTATGTTTTACATCGTCCTGTGCATACCATACCATGCATTTGGCTACTTTGGGCTTGCTATGATGACGCAAGAGATCTGCCCTAGCAACTGTACCGACACTCACAGCTGGTGGTGCGTCGTTTCCATTGTTTACTGGTAGTTACTGGTAAATATTTTTCAACCTAACGAAACTATTACCCGTTTAGAGGTCGACCACCAATTTTTTTCCAAATAATTTGGTCTTAAAAACTTGAACTACACACAGGTATATACAGTAAATAAGGACATGGGGGAACCAGGTTTTTTTTGGGGGCAGCACATATACGCGGATTTTTAACATCCACGGGTATCTCTGTTACGTAACTCCCGCGTATGTTAAGGGCCGACTGTACAGTAATATCTCCATTAGCCGGAATCACTCAAGCCTGGAACTCTCCATTAGCTGGAATTGAAATTTGCTTGGAATTTTTTTGGAAAATTCCCTAAATTCTGGGTTTGGAAACAAATTCCTTTATGCCTGAGCCATCTCAGCCTACCTCAGTACTAAACTTCCCCAATATACTCAATATCCAGCTGCCCTCTTAGCTCTGAACAGGGTTTCCTATCTCTCACCATTGCATTAGACATTAATATTTTATTCTATTCCAGGAAGTGAGCTGCAGGTACCAGTGGGTTTACTGGATTTAGAGTTAACATTAGTCCCAGCTTTGGAATCTCCTTTAAATACTCCAGCTGTTTCCGAATATCTTGAAGGGACGAAGAATCGTGCTGGAGAGAAACGAAGGTTGTTCATCAGCTATGCACGAGAATGGTGGCGAGAGTATACTGAAGCCTCTGCAAGTCATTCTTCACGACCAGTCAGAATATTTGCTATGGACGAATGTGGAAAAAACAGGTAAATTTTACATGAGGCAGCAAATATCAGGTACTGTAGTAAAATAGAATGCGAGGATATGGTCTTTGTGAGATACAGTACTGTACCATTATCTGATTATAAGAAATATACTGTATAGCTTACTAAGCATAGTGTATTTAACTAAAGTGAACAGTACTATACAGTGCTGTATATCTCATTATCTAACAAGGGTGACACATCCACACTCATAGATAAGAGTTACAGTACTGGTATTGTTGAAACTCTCAATAATAACATGTTTGTGGAGTATTATTTGTCTTTTGTAAATATGAAAAGTACAATACAATGCATCTATCTGGTGGGCGGACATATCACCACTGGTCTTTTGAATATTGTTATATTTATTAAATTTAGATGGAATATCTCCACTAGCCAGAATTCCTCTTAACCGAATTTAAATTTGCTTGTAATTTTCCAGAAAAATCTGGGCTTGGTAATGATTTTCGGAGGGGCGCATTTTCTGGAAAATTCTGAGAAAATTTCCAAGTACTGTATTCGGATAATTCTGGGGATGGGGGTTTTCTCTGGGTTTGAGAGATGAAATAACGGGCCATTCTGGAAAATTCCGAGAAAATTCTGGTTAAGCCCTAAGCACGTTTGGGTCCTCCCCCCACCCCCAAAGAAAATTTATATAACGAGCTTCTAACAAACACAACTACAGCACTGCATTTTATATGTGAGGGTTGTGTATCACCCCCACTATCATTCTATTCCTGCTTCTTCAATGGCTAACTGAAGTGCTTTTTTCTTGTCTCAAACTCACCACCATGAGCACTGCCATTAATTGTCCACTTAGGGGCCATGGTTGTGGTAAAATTTACCAGTAAAGAAAAGCTTGAGTGTGAACACCTGGGAGATATTCACAGAGCCAGTGCGAGAGAGATGGAAGCCATGGCAATATTTTAACCTATGGTACGTTTCATCAAACACTTTAATTGTACAAATGAACACAAATATTAAACTTACAGTACCATATGAATACTGTACTTTAAATATAAACAAACACCCAAACCATCCTCTGGGAGACACGACACAGCTCAGCAGGGCAGTCACCCAGCTGACTTAGAGATCTGTGTAGCTGCTGCCCGCTCTATGCTGCATGTATGCACTGACATCACATAGGGGGAGAGAGTGCAGCTGGGTGGTGAATTGGTGATGCAGCTACAGCTCACTGCCTCAATACTGTACAAACATTCACTTCCCACACATACACACCCATGTTCTTCAGTTTTCTTATTTTATAGATTTATATTATATTTCTTTATTTCTAAGCCACATTAGAGTATTGTAATGATTTTATTTTAAATTTTTTCCTCATACGAGCACGGACAAGTGATAAAGATGCTGAGCTAGTGAGAGATGCTGAGTGGGTTGGCTGGAATGAGAGAGTGAGACCTAAGCATAAGGGTTAGACGAGTATAAGTGTACTCCGAGATCCGACTGCATATTATTTTGGCATCTATGGTATTGTCTAAAGTAATGTAGAACATTTAGGTATTTTTGTAACATGTACATTGCATAATGTATGGAAATAATGTCACAGTATTAATATCTCTCATTTTAATGGATAAGACCAACTTCAAATAACAAATGTGCAGTACAGTACAAAATTATCAAGAACAATGGAAGGATCCTACACAGGCCACTGGCCTCCTTCCCTTGGCATGGTCACCTCAAGTGGGTGGCCATTGGATAAATAGGTAAATAAGGTAAATGTGTTGTTGGATTTGACACTGGCAATTGAAAGGGTTGAAGTGTACTACAGTAGTTTAAGTATAGATCAATCATGAGATCAGTCTCAAGACACCCTCGTGTAGGGGGTTCATAATCTTGATAACTGTGGTCGTTTCAGTACTCATTTCACCCAATAGAAGGCATTAAGTTCCCCCAAAAGCTTATTATGAAGGTGGATAAAATGGCAAGTCTGCTATTAATCAACAAACAGTTGATATATTATTTTGTTTATGAAGGTTCCAAGTGTTCCCTGAAGAAGGCAGTGATGGGTAGGGAAACACCGGGTAACACTGAAGTCTATTTATTCGGATAGGAGAAATACAAGCGGTGACTAGCGTGTGCCATGCACGGCTCACGAAGTCAGACTGAGACTGCCTTGCCATATGGCAGCCTCGGGGCAATGTTGCCACATAACGTGCAGTGTTGCCACGTGATTATATATATAAATGCTACTCGGCACAGTAACTTATATACAGGGTTGCTACTCGACACAGTAGCTTAGATACATAACCTACAGTTTACTTTCTGAAATATTCTCTACTTTATTTTTGGCTCCTTTATGGATGAAATGCTTGGTTTGTGTTGAAAGAAAAATATTTTTATTGATCATGTTATAAGTTGTATTGATTTCTTAGGTTTGTGTGTGAGTTTGTGAGAAGGTTAGAGGCGGGTCGAGCTCTGAGGTCACCGGAAGAAGCAACCAGATGGATCAGTGTGATGCCTTCCATTCCAGTACATGAGTTACCTGCTGGCTCCAGCAAACCATGGTACACTTTACCTACAGCTCTTATGTCTCATTCATTGGTAAGTCTGTGTGAGAACTAAATAAACCATGACCAAGGACACCAGTCACTCCTTGTTTAGTCCTGAACATTATGAACACCTTTGGTCCTTACTGGTGTACAGTACAGTAATGATACACATCGTGGTGGCCAAGGGGGGAGATTCAACAACTCTCTTATAGCAAATAAACCCAGAGTAGTTGTTACAGGTAGTTCATTTTTTCTGAAAGATCAGGCATTTGTAACAGGTGTGCTGATTGGCAGTGTAAGCAGGCATTGTACTTTTATTCATATTTAAAATTATTTGATATTGATTAACAATACAAATAATAAAAATGCTAGCAATATGATTAAAAATGTATTGTATTTTATGCTATGTTAATTATCATGTATTAGAGAGACAACATGCAAGGCTGTATTTTTTATGTCTTTCTGTAATGTGAAATGGAAAGAAATAGATACTTTGGTCATATAATTAGGTGATGAGGAGGTAATAAAAGAAATATTAATGGGCAAAGTTGAGGGTAGGAGGGCCAGAGGAAGGCAGAGACTGGGAAGGATGAATAAAATTAAAAACTGGGTTCCCAGAGAGATACCAAACCTTGGAGGATTGATAAAAACAGCCTGAGAATGTTTAGAATGTTGTTAGGTTCCCAACTGATGTAGTTTTTAGTGTATGGGAATTATTTAGGCTTCTCGAATAAAAAAAATTACCCTATACAGGAAAGAAGGATGTACAATAATGGGTTATTCTAGTGTGACCGACATCCACAGAGAAACGGTGGGGACTGCGGGCAAGACGAGTATTATGAGCCCACGGCCTTGCCGGCGGTACACAGGATGCCAAATCCACCAAACATTGCCTGTTAAGATATATATACCTGTTAAAGAGAGAAAGTGAAGCAACATTGCAGCAAAGAGAAAGGGAAGAAAGATTATCAACTAAAGGAGGAGAGTTAATAAGACGAAATTCCTTTGATTCCACCCTATCTAACAGTTGGACAGAAGAGCCACCCCAGATATGAGAGCAGTACTCCAAGTTAGGACGAATGAATCCTTTATATACTTGAAGCAACTGCTCAGGAGTGAAGTAGCTTCGGCATCTGTACAGCATTCCTAGCTTTCGGGAGGCAGCTTTAGCAATGTTGTGGATGTGTGTCTTCCATGACATTAGAGGAAATGGTGAGGCTTAGCATATCTATTTTGGATTTTGGCAGAATGATTGCATCCTGAAATGTGATTGGTGGGAGATAATCTAATTTGGAAAGTGTAATTGGTAAATACTGAGTTTTATTACTATTGAATTTAACCAAGTTTTTACCTCCCCATTCGGAGATGCTATACAGATCCGCATTGATGGATGTAATGATATCACCTCTAGAAACAGATCTAGTTTGAGAATTAGGGGCAAGGGAAAAATGTGAAGAGTAGAATCATCAGCGTAAGAATGGATAGAATTAGTCATAGTGTGAAGTAAATTATTGATAAAGAGAAGGAAGAGAGTAGGTGAAAGAACAGAACCCTGTGGGACACCACTATTGGTAGAGAAAGAGCGAGAGATCGATCCATCGACAACAACTGTGATAGATTGGTTCTCAAGGAAGCTAGAAATTAGAGAACAAAGTGAGGGAGAGAAACCATAAGAGGGAAGTTTAGAAAGCAAAGACTTGTGCCATACCCTGTCAAATGCTTTGGAGATCTCGAGGGCCACGACAAAAGTTTCCCCATAATCTCTAAGAGAGGATGACCCAAAGATGGGTGCAGTAAGAGAGCAGATCACTGACCAAAATATACCCCCAAAAACGTGTAGGTACACTAAAAAATATAATACAGTACTACTAACATATACTTACACAAAACTGAGTGTAAGTATAAATGAACAACGTCGTATTCCTTCCACATTACGTTACATAAATTTAAAATTATGGAATGAGAAAGCAGAAAGGTGGGGATGATTAGAGAGGTTGAGTGGTAACACGCAATGGGTGTGCTTGTCTGGAACATTCAACCAGAGAATACGCACGTTTTCGTCGCCTGGTTGGATATATATTGTGATATAAACTAAAAATTACAACATCTACTAATTGTTCATAATTTGTCACATGTTCTTAGAGATGATCATAAAACATTGTACTGTCCTGTACTTTATCTACATGTCTTTAAAATTAATAACAAGTTACCACATTTTTTTTTTTCCTGCAGAACAATGAAAGTAAGTGCAGTTTACTGTGTAGTATATTGCTGGGATTTGGGCTTGATTCCTGGGTGTGTGTAGGCACTCGACGTTCAGGGAGTCCACATGTGTGGGTCATGACACGAGGACCATACTCAGCTTACACTTTTTGGGAAATAACAACAGGTATAGTGGTTTGCTGAGTTATTGTTCACCTTACTGTGCTCTGTATTGCACATTTTGCTTTAAATTTTGAATGAAATGATTGATTGTGGCAATTACATCCCTGGCAGATTCTAAATTGTGAATTGTTGCAATGAAATCTTTTATATTATATAGGCTTACAAAAATGATTAATGAGTACCTAGTATATCTCATCTTGGTAGACAGTAAATTGAGTCACACAAAACCAACTTCATCCTCCCAGGTCTTGAAAAATTTTTATAAGTAAACTCCTCCATCATTACACTCATAGCACCTATAGTTTTAACACCAGTCGCCCTTTACTTAATGTCTCAATGTCTCAGGTACTTAACCACACTGAGCCACTAGTTTAGACCCAGAATAACCCCCCCCCCCTCCTCCCCTCAAAAAGCAGTTATTATACCCCCCATTTCAGCCATTGTCCATAAAAAGAAGAGTACATGTACTGTAGAAGGTAAGGTATCCATCCTGGACACAAGAGGGGTGGAGGCTGAATGAGTATATGATGCCAGACTCTAGGTTAGTACACATAAAAGATCGGAGGACATGTAATTCATATAATATGTCAATAAACTATTAGGAACTAAAAACATGAAAAGATGCAAGAACTTTATTGATTTTTTCTGATTCTGGGAGTACAGTTCTCCCTGAAGATGTGAATACTGTTGTGATGCTTTGATCATTTCATGTTTTTTTTCTTGGTATAGTTACCAGTATACATTAATAAATCAATTCATACAATCTCCAAACTAAATATTTTCCACATTTATAGGATCTCGGTACCTACATAGGGTGGGCCAGAAAGCTGCTCACGACTATGGAACCATTGGCAGTGTCTTCAATAATGACAGTTTCTATGCCACCTGTCAAGTAAGTTACAGTACTGTGAATGAATTACTCTGTCTTATTTCACATCTTGCTTGAGTTCGAAACAAAAGAATCATTTTACACGAGCTGTTGAGAGGCCGGGTGGACTAATCCCTGTAAAAAAAATAAATAAATAAAAATAGATTTTCCTCATGGATGTGATAGCATATTTTTGTTTTGTTTCTTCGCCCAGAAAATAAAACACCAAGTTTCCTCTACTTTTCAGGCAACTGACAAAATAGAATATTGTAACTTCTCCCTGGAAGACAGCAATGCTTGGAAGAAGATGTCCTTTAGTGCTACATCAAGCATGACAGAAAAGATGCCCTGCTTAATGCCACTAATACCACCTACAAATGATGGAATTAAGAAAAGCACAGACATAGAACTGCAGCTTCAAGTGTTGATTATTGAACACAGAAGTGTGAGTAGTACAGTACTATAATTTACTCAAACAGTAAAATATTTTACGATTTTGTGTTTTGTCTCTCAGTTCTGTCAAGCAAATTTTCCATGCCCATTTGACAATAACTTAAGTTTCTTCTGATAATTTCTTCCTATAAAACAGAATATTTGATTGCAACTCAATGAAGAATGAAAGTACTTTCTGAATTTTGTGATACTGTTGAATATTGCCAAGTTTGTTCCTTTTTTAAATACTGTACTGTACAATACAGGCATTCCCCGATTTAAGATAGGATTGTGTTCCTGGAGACTGTAGCATATATTAAAGCTCTCATCCAAGGTGACCTGATATTTGACTTGTCCGTACAAAGTTCAGTGTCTGTATGAATCACTCATGATGGCTCTGAGAAATATGTGAAGACCAGTCCTGCCACCACCACACAACCTAACTTGCACCACACGCCATGATAAAACCCACCATTATCCACACTTATTCTATTGTCTCTTATTCTATGCTGGTCATTTTCTACTATTATAAGAAAACTGGTAAATTTCATATTTGATTGTCTACATGCAAATTGTCGGGGTTTTGTATTAAAATACAAAAACAATTATAGCTGCACATATGTCAGTATTTGAAAAAGTAAGTAATCTTACATGGACTAAGCCAGTTTTCCTGTTAATTATAAATCTTGCTCATAAGGTAGAATAAAATTTAGTCATGGGAGGTGGTGGTAATCCCTCTAGTGAGTTGTATAACATTATCCAAGAAAGACTCACTTTATGTTACAGTATGTGAAGAAACATCACATAACATCTCTATTTTTCATAAACAGACATATTATAGTGCAGTAATAATGTATACCACATTAAAAACTCTTCTACTTTGTACAATTCTCTTATCATTCTCCCATTATACTATTAGGCCACGGCCACGACCAAAAATATTTATGGCTAACAAAAAAAGTGTATAAACTTTAATCCAAAGCACTTGTTCTAATTGTGTTAGAAAGACGAATTCAGTATCATAATGATCCTAAATATATTATTTACAACATTCTTAAACAAAATATTTCAACACAATATCATAATGGGGATTCAATTCTTCTATTAAAAAACAAAGATGTTTATACCAGGGTTTATAAAATCAGTTCTAATTAAGTTAGAAACATTATTTTTTACCAAATTAATGCTTATTAGTTTATCTAAAAGTCTGTTTTAGTAAATACAGTACTGTATATATAAAAAACAAACCAAAACTCTTCACTATATGGGCCATCAAATGGAGCCAAGTGTTACAGTGGAGTCAGGTGTAGGAGAGCTCCAGCAACACCTGCCACTAGGTGACTTGCTGAGTTCAGTTGTACTGAGAGCTAACACCAAGCTGTCAATGTGTATTAGGAACCGAGGAAAAATAAATGTTTTTTCCAGTTGTTAGAACCCTAAGTGGCTAAACAAGACGTTCATATGTGAATAGAAACCCTGAGAGTGTTAAGTCCTGGTTAAAAATTACAATAGGTTTATTGTTCTTCGGTAGCTTGACTCAGAAATCCCCTCCACCCTTCATTATAGACATTACAGATCCCCGCCCAACCCAGAATTTCTGTCAAGATGGACAGGTATTCCCTACAATTAGTCCAGATTAAAGGGTACTGTACTCTAATGCCTAGTTCCCATTCTGTGAAATTGGGTTAGAGATAAGAGCATTCAGCTATAAAATTTGCCTGATGGCTTCCAGGTCACCAGGCTTTCAAGTACTAATTGCTACTAACCCAAGCAACAATAAAATTGGCTGTAAATTGATGTTCTTATTACCGGTATCATTACTTGACAAACTTTATATATTTTAATTACAGTAATGTCATCCCAATCTTTCTATTAATATTTTCTACAGGATTGTGGTTTGAGTTCTCACTTCGATAAACACTTGAGTTATGTACTGTCTCCTGCGCTGTGGTCCTATGAGAGAGAAATTGTTGAGGGTGGCAATGGTACTGAGAATAAAGGAATGGAACTCTTCTCTGCTGCTCTAATGCATACCTTACCTGAAGGACACACATTTAAGGCATTTCCCTTCTATTTTGTGCATCGTTCCCCACGTCGTGCTTTCAATACTATATTAAAGTAAGAATTCACTGTATAGTACAAGTGTTTTATTTCTCAAAATTGAAATTTTAAGTTTCAATAGTGGGAGGTTATCCCTTCATAATAAGCTCATATACGGTACAGTATATTTGTATGTACAGTATACTATAGTGTCATAATCAGTAGTTGTTGCACTGTTGATACTCACAGCACACTTGTTATTTTTAATTTCTTTTATTTATTATAAAATGAAACCTAGTTTAGTGTCATTATTATCTTTTTCAAATGATTTTAAATCATACATTTTCATGGCTCAATTTCCCTTTGATTTATGACTAAAGTACAGTAGAGTAAAGCACCAATATTCTGATAAACTCTTCCATAACTATATTTTTGATGACGTTTTTTTACAGTTCAAGCATTGGGCGTGAAATAGTTGAGTGCCGTGGAGATAAAGTGACTCTAGCTGTGCGGTCACTGACTGTTTGTTACCCAGAGTATGTGTATGTCACTTGGCTTATGGTTGCATGTTCTTTTCGGCCTGTTGGATGATATTTGATAACTGATATAACTCAATATTTATATTATACCACCAGAAAAATGTTATCAATCAAAATGAAAAATGAGGATAATTCTGTTAATCACTGGAATTGATATTTTGTCAAATAAAAAACATCTAGTTCATTATACTAAGTACAGTGTATGCATGCACTTGCACACGCACACACACACACACACACACACTGTACCTTCATTAGTTCGGATCATTATAATTCTGATTTTGGCTTAATTCGTATGATTTAAAAAAATAATAATTAAATGACTTGAATTTAGAATGAATCCAAAATAAACAAGCTGTTCTGAAAAGTCGCCTTGGTTGCCACATAAAATATTAAATTTATAATTACATACAGTAATTTATAATGTACATACAGTAATAATAAAACAAATAATATAGTAATAAATAAATGTAACACTTACATTGTGAGGTGAGCTCATTACAGTATATGTAAATGTTATTCCCAAAGTGTAATGGCCACACTGGTAAATTAAGTAAAACCCACATTGGAGGAATAAAAGACAATCTTGGAGCTGGTATACTAGGACCCTCTTCAGCCAACTAACAGAACATAGCAAAGGAGAAAGGCACAGAACATGGGAACCAGATCATGTGACCTGTCTCCTGAGTTGAGGAAGAATGGGGATTAGGGATAATATACTTGATGACAGTGTTCAGGCCTGGTCAAGGGTTCACTGATCATATGCCACAATTTTTCTACTAAGGCAACAATTGGACTAATAAATAGCTATGATAACAATCTATTGCAATAGCTTAGAATAATAGCTATTTATAAGTCCAATTGTAGTTTCAGAAGAGGATTCCACAATTTAGCTTATAAATCATAGAGCTACTATTCCAATTTACTGCTACAGATTGGAATACTGTACAGAATGTATTTCTATTGACTATGTTAAGTGTTAACTTGAAATATATATTTTTCTAACTATAAAGTAAGTCCCATTGGTTTTTATATTTTGTGTCAGTGTTAAATGAATGTTTACCAAGAATTCAGTGAACCCAAGGATGTGGTTCTTGTATTTTTGTATTCTTTAAATCCTTCATATAGCAACTAAACTTATTTTCAAATAAATAATCTTAATGTATATTGTGTTATCATTATCACTTCAGAATTACCTTTCTCTCTCCCAAATACTGTAATGTGTACCATACAATACATGAGAATCCCTGCACCTTTGACCGCTCTTGCCAAGCTACCCGAGTGTTAAAGAGGTTCATGTTATATTAGACACATACAATCTGATTCAAAATCAAGGTTGTGGTAACATTCCTTGAACTAGTACAGTATATGAAAGAATGTTTAATACAGTACAGGGTATTGTAGTTCACAGTAAATTAGGGTTTCCCAAATAAGCCCACAGATCAGAATATAAATAAATAAATAAATTTAAAGTAAGAAATATTGTCAGAAATTTAGAGAGAAGAATTACCGGTAAGTAGGAATGAGAAACCAGAGTGATGTACAGTACAGGTAAACCTCTATTTACGATATTTCAATGTACGATAATTATCATTAACGATGCTGGTATATTAAGACCACTCCCCTATTTGTGATGTAAACAAACTTGAAATTATGATATTTGTCATCCCGCCAAATCGGCATATGGAACTTATCACTCAATTCATTTGTCAGCTGAGGCATCATCTAACTGACCGCTGCTCATGGCAATCTGGTGAACTACAGTCCAGGCATTGTTTTTTCTTGGTTACATGTGTGTAAGAAATGGAGCTTGATGTTTATCGGTCATCATCAGTGTTGTTTTTTACCTTACAGTGATAGGACATCATTAAGGTTCATATAATACTCTGTTTTAGTGACTGAGCAGTGCTTTCCCTGTTTTAGTGTCTGTGAAACTCTTTTGCTCTATGAAGTGCTTTCACTCTGAGTGATCTGAGTGATCTCTCACTCTGACATTGGGTGACCTGACATTCCATCAGAAAATCAGTAATATGAGACCACTAATCCATCCACCCCATCTCCACTGCAAATGAGAGAAGAGTTTATATACAGTGAGTGGAACTGACAATGCATCATGTCAGGTCAGTTAACATGACTCACTAATCCCCTACCACACCTCCATCACAAGTGTTAAAAGATGTAAAAAATGATTACAATTACATATTACATTCAGGAGATTGGACAGTGTATTCCTACTGTTTAGACTCTTTAATTTTAGCTTTATTATCAGGGGCAGATCCAGGGGGGGGGGGGCCCTAGGGGTCCGGACCCCCTCTTTTTACCAGAAAAATCCAATACTTTTCTTTAATGCAGTATTGTACTCAGACATTTTTTTTTGAAGTAAAAAGTATTTACTATTGACTTCCGAATATCTGCTAATATCAAGTGTGCATGGCTTCAAAATGGCATCAAGATGCCCACGATACTGGTCAGATTTAAAAAAAATTTCTGGGGTCTTAAAACACCCCACCCAAAACACCCCAGCTGGGGCTGTATGATTTCATTATTAGATATGAATGTAACATTTATTTAGACTGTGCTATCCTTTGTGTTAGGCTAACTACTATTTTTCTTTCGATTTCGAGTAGTAAACTGCACCTAACCCTATTTTCTCTATAAGCCCTGTTATTTCTATTATGCGATTTTCAATAACACGATATTTTACAAGAACACAACTATAGAGTTATAGCAGAACTGACTGTAGTGCACACACGCTTTCAGAGGCGACCCAAATGAAGATAATTTGTGTGTGTTATCCCTTCAAGAGCGAAATATTTATGTTTTCTATAATGTACAAATGTATTGGTTTTCTGTGATAGTGAATCAAGACTTAGTGGATAACTCTACCAGATTGTGTCTAATATTGAAACTATATTGCGAGGGACAGGAGGACTGATGAAGCTGGGTAAATAAGATGGCTGGGTGGGATTGGGAAAACAAAGTAGCTCAGCAGGTTCTTTCTTGGCATGTTCATTGTGGTGTGTTATCATGGATGACAGCACAGTTTGTACAGAATCTTTCCAAATGAGACAACTGATACAGTGGCATAGTGAGGGGGGGGGGCAGTTGCTCTCGAGGGCAGTGTTCAAGGGGCGCTAAAATGTCACATTCATAAATTGCTTAACCACTTTGAAAAACAGCATTACAATAGAAGAGTGAAATGCGACAAGAAGAATACAGTTTAAAGGAAAATATCATATATACAATCGCTTGATTTTTCAGTCCTGAATTTAGCCTGTTTCCGTTCAGATTTAGTCTATTTAGCCCCAGTTTCATTTTCTGGCTTTTTCCGCTCCGAAATATTTCAGCAGTTTGAAAGTCAGTGAGTTAAATAATTATAATAACTAAAATAGTTCCAGAAATCATCAGTGTTGCCTAGAATTTGATGTGTGTTTTCTAAGGTAAGCAAATCGGTAAATATGAAGACCTGAACAAACTCAGGACAAACCTGTATGTCAGAGAGAAGGACGTTTGGAGCCTACCACCCACTGAAGACGCATTTGTAAGGCGAGCGACACTGTCTTATAATCATGCATTTCTGTCAAGCCTGATCAACCACAACCTGTCTTTCCAGACCTATTCAAGTTTGGTTGGTTGTTAGATGATAAATTCAGACCACTGTTTCACCAATACCACACATTTCCAGTTTAGCCCCACTCCTGTCACTCTAGCAGTGAAGTGTTGTGAATCAGCCAAAAGTAATGACATCCTGGCCAGAATCATAACACAAGGCTATAACAAAAGATAAATGTCCCAATAAAGCATCAAACAATAATCCAGTTCTCGCTGAGACAGCACGTTTTTCAGAAAGAAAAACGTGATTCAAGCGAGTTTCACGCCCTAAGCAATACACGCCGCCGCTGAGTGATTTACGTCTTTACTGCTCCATTCAGGGAGAGAAGGCATATCTCCTGAAGTATTTTATGATGCTCTAACAATGAGCGCACGAGACGTTCACACACACACACACACACATCATCGAGACGCCGAGTGTGACGTCACGTTCATCTAAACTATTGTGATGTTAAGATATTATGACCCCCCCCCCCCACACACACACTACTCAAGGAACGAGTCAGAGGAACACGGTCAGGTGTGATCACTGTTAATGAGACATGGTTCTCAATCATCACACCTGCTATCTCGCTCACTATATCAAGGCTCCACCTGTTCATCTCAGGCCTTGTTGGTCGGGGCTCCAGGTGTTGGTGTAAGTCTGCAGGTGAAGCTGACAGATGAGGTGTACTGTGTTATATGAGAGTGTACCAGCCACCCATCTTCCTAAACAACAGGAGTACACAGCGCCACCTCACGTTTTAAATAACTCAGGAGATATATTTAAGATTAACACAAAATACTGCAAAATAACCAACCTGACCAGATACATTTGAGTTTTACTTACAAATACTAAAAAAAAAATGTATCACATCTAAGAACCACATCACTATCTATAAACAGAAAACAACTCTATATAAAATCAGAGTAAATTAAGGTATAAACATTGATGATTACATTATTATATTGATGATTACATTATACACTCGTACATTGATGATTACATTATATACATTGTCCTTAAATATGGGACTGAAGTTTGTAACAATATCAAGATGCGAGATGTAAATAAAGATGATGACGTGGAGGTTGTTGGTTATTACAAGTGTGTCTCATGAAGAAGAAGAAGAAGAAGAAGAATGTTGTTGACCATCCTTCTCTGACTCTCTTTCTCTTTATAAAGAAGACTGTTTGTTGTGGCCACCTCTTACCAAGAGAGGAATCACCACCTGTAGGCCGTGGAAGTTATAGGTAGACTCATTAATGCATCAAAACCAAAGGGTAAAATGAGATAGGTGAAGAGTGGACATGTTTTTCATTAGACAGGTGCTAGAGATAGACACGGTGACCTAAGGAGAACCTACATGGTGATTCTTGTCATCTACAAAAAACAAATTGCTTTTTTTCTTATTTTTCCTGTGAACTTTGCGTGTCGGGATACTCACTCTCTCTCCCTCTGGAGGCCGCCGTAAATGCCATATTCACAAAATAAAACCTAAATAAATCCGTGAATATTTTATCAAGTAACAAATACAACATAACAGTATTAACCCGTGATGACCTTCTTCATGACATCAGCTTTAGGGCCTCAAGAGTTTAATACTTCATGGCTGAGCGGCTCGAGGGCAGCACAATTAAAGCATCATTACTGGAGTCCTTCAACGCTTCCACAAATAATCTTATACTGATATGCCTTCGCTCCCTACCCTGGCAGCCTTAATATGTTGGGTGGCGAGATATATAATGTAGGATTATTTATTTGTTTATGTACAGTCAATGCATATTATGTAGTCAATGTTTTATATGAAAGATGATCAGATAAACAACTGCAATGCCATCATTTGATTTATATAGAACTACACCACAGACACGACACCCACACAGACACTCAGGCCTTTTTGTCAGTAAGACCCCCACTGTGCGCCCAGGGTTACAGAGTTAGTCAGTTCATATCCACTGAGCAGGGAAGACAGGCACTTCATTTAGTAGCGCCTAAACAGTTACTAACAGTATTTCCCTTGAGAGAATTCACTCATCCTTTCCCTCAAATCTTACACTAAACGCTGAGTAGTGTTTACCTGAAGCCCTGCTACTTAATAATCCCTAGGACTTCTTAATAAGTTAATTGTGATAGTAAACCGCTATCACAAAATTAATATATTTTATGTCTATAATTTACTATAGACTACACAGTACTCTCCAAATCTTTACACACTGACGTTTGAATTAACAAAATATTCTAAAAAATTCTGGGTAAACTAAACTTTCTACGTAAATATATCCAGTGACATTAATTATATTGAAAAATAAAATTTATGGAGTATTTTTCCCACTTAACGTTAAACAACATCAACACACTAGGGTTAAGGTGAAGTTTTATCAAGAGCAGAGAAGCTACACGGAGAGACCAACCCTCTGTTTACGTCGCTTATAAGGAACCACAACCAGACGTCACCTCCATTTATATATTGTTTTCGCCAGATTCTAAGGGGAGATATTAATTCCTAAATATCAAAACACTGTGACCTAAGAAATTATAATTGTGTTCTTATCGAGTATTATAATAATTTT